TTCTTCATTTGTTAGCTTAGTCCTGGGAAAGATTATCCCTGGCATGGTCATCAGACAGTAGATAGAGTGACCATGGACTGATTATCTAGTGTAATTTGTCAAAACACATATGCAATTTTCATTTTGTTGCCAGGTGAAGTAGTGCAGCTTTATACAAATAAGTAATGCAATGTAATGTGAAGGAAAATATCAAGCTTTGTAGTGCTGATTGGAAATGGTCCAAACAGTAAACTTCTGTCATGTTTCTAAATCAGAAGCTATGGTGTTTTCACATTATTCAAAGCATTTTCAAATAAATTTGCATATATCCATCAATTTTTGTAGTCTTACACAGTGTATAAAATGCTCTAGGAGAACTTAAAGGTCACTAGAAAACACTAACTGAATAACAAAATATTTATACTGTACAGTGTATCAGTGTTTTAGCATAACAAAAGATAACAAAATATCATTTTTGGACAATGGTTTTGTTTACTACAGTGTTGAATGAAATATGTCAAAGGTATTTTTTATAAGATGAGGAAGCTATGACCATTCAAGTACTATCATGAAAGAGAAGTGATAATAATTGTGTGAATCTGACACATCTGATTGTGCTGATGTGCTGTTAATGTCTGTGCTAGTGATAGCCAGTCATAACATATTTAAAAGATAAAAATAAAAGATCTTAAAAAAATCTGCAGTCCCATTATCAAAGCTTGTAAATCTGCACGAGATGGAATTTGCTAATATTCTAACCACTATTCTCAACTATGCAATCTCTTTTTTTGGGAAGGCTCAACACAGTGAATTGGTTCTTCACATAAATTTTGTTTTCTACGTTTGTAGTAGTTTTTCATCATTATAAGACATTTTCATAAAACTAACCCAAACAGCACATTTGAATCTTCAAAACGCTTGAACTCAATTTTGATTTCAGTTCAGTGTATGGTCCTAATCCAGCAAAGTGCTTGTACATACATATACTCAGCTTTAGTATGCGAGTAGTTCTGTTGAAATCAGCATGTTCTTTAGAACTTAGCTGCATCATGCATGGCCTGTGTTTAGAAACACTGTGTCAATAACCTTGAATATTCAGAAACTGCAGTTTGTCAGTGCAGTTTGATCCATTAGGTTGTGGACATTGACATGGTAGATCTCCTACTAGCTTGTGTCCCCCTCCTCTCCGGTATTCTGAATTCCCTTTTTCACTTCTTAACTAAAGTCTATAAAAGAAAAGAAAAAAAAAACATTCAAAATGACCAGTATATCACTTCCTTTGTCAACCAACCAAACAGTTTTGCAAATTCATTAGAATTATCATCTAAAATTTGCCAAATTTCAATTGCCCACAAAAATTCCATTGGTTCTTTTTTCATTTCTTCAAAATCCTAATTCTCTTTGTTTTAACATTTTAATCCTTGTTTATGCCTTCATAATTTTCTACCACAAGTACTGTAACTTCCTCTCTCCAGACAATTCACCCTGCCTCTCTCCAATAAAGCAAATGGGGGAAAAATAATTCGGTTTTGAGGTTTTGAAACTTATTTTCATTCTTCATCAGCGCATGATTTTCTGAAATATATTAGGCTATGGCTACACTATGAACTTCTTCCGGAAGAGGAAATGCAAATAGACTGCTCATTTGCATATCTCACACTCTCATTTGTATATTCTTTTCCAATCCTTTTAGCAGAAGAGGGTTTTGCACAAAAAAGCGCTGTGTAGAAGGCGCTTTTTTGCGCAAAAAAACCCTTTTGCGCAAGATCCTTCTTCCAAAAATTGAGGAATGGCAAAGAGAATGGAATGGGGAAGTGGGGGTGGTAAAATTGGAATAAATGAAAACAGAGAAAGAAACCTTTGTGGAATTGTGAAGAATCTTGAGGATGAGAAGTGGAAAATAAAATTGGGACAGGGGTCAAAGGAACACAGTGCAGGAATTTCAAAATGGGAAGTGACACAGTCCAGTTGGAGAGAAAAAAACATGACTTTAGCCTTAGTACATTTGATAGGAAATTTGGAAATTTTTCAACAAAATATTTGTAGACAAAACATGTCAGTTCATCAAAGCTAAACCTTTTCACAGAATCATGTCATCACAACAGGGCCAGCCCACAACCTTTCGGCACCTGAGGTGGGGAGTTCAAATGATGCCCCCAAGACCCTTCGCTTGGGCCAAAACTTTGAAAGGTCTCAGTTCTGCCTTCTTCCTATTCTACTCCTCTCATGGTACTGCTCTACTACCTACCCCAATAAAGGAGAACGAACAACTTCAAATTCCTTGTTCAAAAATTATAACACTTAACTTTCAGATGCCTGAACAGCAAATGTAACCAGTGTAATGTGCATCTAGAGCAGAGAGAATACATATGAACCAGCAGCAGACACAATTTTCTACACTCTGGGTTATAGTGGTGCCCCTCTCCCCCCCCCAAGTCTGGCACCTGAGGCAGCCACCTCAGTTCGCCTCATGGTAAGGCCAGTCCTGCATCACAAAAGTTTTGCAGGTCTAGGATGGAATTTCAAGATTTGTCTGGGATGTGGCAGACCCAGTTTCAAGTCCTTGTTCTGAATCAGACAGAGCAAGGGCATGCCCTTGATCTTCAACGTACCAGGCAAGTGTCCTTTCTACTAAGCTTTAGTCCATTATGTGGCTTCTCTCTAAGGCTACAGCTACCCAACAAACTTTATCCAGAAAAGGAAGTGTAAATGGAGCACTTGCCTTACTACTCCTTTGGAATCCTTCTTTCTTAGCCCTGCCATGAGTGCAGGGGACTAGACACTAGGACCACTTCAGGTCCCTTTCACTCCTATGATTCCATGATTCTTTCATTCTTGTTTTTGTGCTGTTTTGCACACTGCCCTCACATTTATGCCAAAACTCATCCTTACCAGCAATACAGTAAGGAATCAGCCTCTGACTTTAAATTCTTCCTTACAACCCACATACATAGAGCCAATCAGTGATAAGTATATAGCAAGCACCTGATACACGAAAAGGAAAAATATATGTCTTACTATATATTTTAGAAATGTGTATCTGTCTGTCCATCTGTCCATGCATCTGTGAGTCCATTTGTTCAAGAACTCTTCCTAAGCAACAAGAGTTAGACCCACCAAATCTGGTATGTAGCTTCCTCTTATCAGAATTTAAAGCAAGGGAAGGGTTTGGTTTTGTACCAGGATAATGGGATATGCTTGGAATTCAACTGTTTCTCATAAAATGGAAAGGGATTGGTCTTGCAGGAGGAACAGTTATACTGCAGAATGACCACATGGGAACATCAAGAGCCAGACATGGGCAACGAGACACCTGCAGGGGGGAAGAAAGGAACAGCTATCTACTATATATTTCAGAGAGTTTATCTGTGTGTCTGTTAGTCTGTGTGTTTGCCCCTCAGCTGGGAGAAAGACATGCATCAGCAGCCATGGACATACACTTCTCCCCTGGCCACAAACAGCTGTGGTGAGAAAGAGCTAGAGTTATCCTTTCTACCCTGGGGCAGCCTGCACACTGAGCCCCTCATTTCCAGCTCCACCCCAGTACAATGATTTAAAGAAAAAACAAACTTATTTAAGGGCCCAAGCAATGCTAAGTAAATCTAGTATGATCTAAAGTGCAAATATCATTTGTGAAGGGGAGTGTATGTTATGTCTTTCGGTGAAATTGGATTCTGCTTATAGTAGAAGTAAATCTGGAGTTGTTCCATTGTTTGCAATGTTATTAAGTTCAGTTTCTGTTCTGAACATTCTATTATTTTTAGGCTGGGTCGCTTCCTCTCTATTTTCATTACAGCACCAAATACAGTGTCTATCCTTAGCAGATAATAGCAAATTTCCCTTTCTGTTTCTCTCAGATTGCAGACACAGTTTTTATGTATACATGTTGGATTCACAAATGAAGAAGATCCAAGTAAAATTTTTTCCACATTTGGGTCAACCGTTAATCTGACATGTTATCACAGCTCTAATTCTTCTATGTCTGAAAACAATGGCCTTTTTGGCACTTCCATGATCCATCTTGCTGAAGAGTTTACACAAAATTGCACTGCTTTTAGTCAGTGCGAATTGGTAAAGACATACTTCTGTTAAAAAAGCCAATCTTTCTACTTCACAACAACATCATGGTTGATCCTATCAAGAATGTTACCACCAGAATGATTCCTGAAAAGACTTTTTTGTCAGATTTGTGACTTTTACTCATGGACTGTGACTAAATATTTTATATATAGATATGGACCAAAAATGTCAAGGTACTGTTTGAAAGTCAGAGAGATGCTGAAAAATGAATTACTTTGATTCTTTGGGCCAACAGTTGAGTTTTAGATCATATGGCAATGAGATTTCATTGTTGTTTTTGACTTATTTCCTTTGTTCATTCCTGTATTTTATTTTATTTTAAAGAAATATAGTTTGGAAGGAAATAAATAACTGTAACTCATGCAAAGTAATTGTTATGCTGATCACACCTCAGAGCTGAAGTGCAATAGTTAGCCATTAGATCCGAACTGAGTTTTCATCTAAGGGGGTCACTAATTGATCACTGGGTGTCAATTAATGTTTATCTGAAACACTTTTACTTAGTCTTAAGCACACATGCCATTTTTAACAGACAAGTACAGTAGGGAGCATGTACATGTACATTAACATTAACCATAAATCCTAATTCTAAACCCTAACATACATCAGGCCACCTTGTTAGAAGATTATAGGATAGCTAATAACATTTGAATTAGTAATCATTACTGATGAAGTAGACATGCTCTATACTGTACTTATCTGTTAAAAATGACATGTGAGCTTAAGACTGAGTAACAGTGTTTCAGATAAGCATTAATTCTATTTGTGACTGGCCAATCAGACTGACTTTACAAGATGGGGTTGCACGGAGAAATAATAATGGTGCATGGTATAGATTGGGGTGGGAAATAAAATGGTGGTGGTTTGTCAGGGTTAGCCCTAAATTTACCTGTACTTCCATAGGTATCAGTGACTGCAACTTCTCTTGGTTGTGGATTGCCATTCCTAGCCAATGAGAGCTAACCGGAGCTGCAATCTCCCATGCCTGTGGAGGCCAAGGTAAATATAGCAGTAGAAGACCACCAGGGGCTAAATGTGGTGGACTAGATCTGGCCCATGGGCTGATATTTGCCCACCCCAGCACAGAGGAAGCAAAATCATTTCCTCATGTTCAAGTACCTTAATATTCTCCGAGCATCGTTTTCTTTAAAATGCTATATAAATAATTGACATTTTAGTACAGATTTTGCTGCTATAGCATTCTCCAAATAGTATTAGCCAGATGTCCATATTTCACTTGTACAACAATGGAGTTTGAGTGTTTATTTAAAATACAATGCAGGTCTGCCTTTTGTATGCCCTTAAACAACTCAGAACATGCTGGGTAATACATCAGTATGCGGCAACTGTTATTTGGAGGTCAGGTGACTAAATATATAGACATTAATTTCCACTTAATGCAGTTTATTATATATTGATAGTTGATTATATTTTCGTAGACATTTTTCTTATAATTAGATTTTTAATTGTTAAATATCATTAGAAAAACACATATTTGTTATGAGATCAATATGTAAACCTTACAGTTCTTTTCTTCTGAATTCTAGTACAGTCAGAAATAGTCCAACCATAAATATAGATGCAATTCACTACAGACTTCAAAGAAGTGGCAAAATAAGAAGAGGTTAAAGAATACAAACACAAACACATTTAATCTCATTTAAAACAAGCCCTCAAACAAACCTGGAGCTTCAGGAGGTTTCTGTGAGCTATGTCCTCATTTTCACCTTATAGCAAACTAACATTATGATCTGTGCTGCTGAAAGGTTATTTCTGGTAACCTGTATCAATTTCCTATTCATACAGCAACTGGTGTCAACTAAAAATAATTCCATTTGAACACCAGCTAAGAATCCAGTCACATTTGGATCACAGACAATGTGCATAAATAAGATTTAAGATCCCTTGTTCTGCTACATCATTCGAGCTCACTCATCAAGCTTAGTTTCATCAAACTGCCATTTGAAAGCTATTGAAAAGCCATTAACTGACAGGACTGTGAGAGCCGCAGTGCAGCAGCACACCTCAGTGCTGGAAAAATGTGGCTGCAAGTGCACGCCAATTAAATCTTACTATTCCGGGGAATGTGGGATTAGGAGGAGTGTCAATCAAGTGTGTTACAATAGCACGTGCAATAGTCATGGTTCAAGACACAGAGGTTTATCTTAACTCCAGCAGCTGGGTGAGAATGACTTGGAAGCCTCTGCAAGATCTTGGAACAGAAGCTACATTAAATAATGTATTCTGAGGTAAACTGGATACCTGAGGAAAGGTTCTAAATAATGCATTTCCTATGCATGACAGTTATAGCAGAAGAGAATGCTGAAATCAGTAGGAAGACTACAGTCTGAGATGAAAGAATGTCTCATTATCATTTTATCAAGTGCTGTAAGTAACAAAATGGTTATTTTGATTTTAAAACAGTCCCTTGTTTTGTTTTTTGAGGTATCTGTGTTTACTGCCTATGCAAAAAGTATTAAGGCAGATACTGCATGATATCAGTTTGATAATAATGGAAGGGAGTTGTTACTTTGCTTGTGAATATATGCAGGCAGTGTATAATGTTTTTCCTTTCTGTTGTGTACTGAGACTTCACTGTGTGGGTCAGTTCCAATTCTAAAGCCCATATTATTAGCTTTTCAAACTTCTTTATTTATATACTTAAACAGTCATTGGAGAAAATACCCAAGGACAGGAAACATCTGAGACATAGGACTATGTTATGGGTACCTTCAAGGACAATCTGTCTCTGGTACCCAACAGGATTAATACAAATGAAAATAAAGCTATAATGAAAACTTTCATTCTCTACCATACATCAGTGCTGTATTCACCCCATTAGTGTTTAAATCTGCAAAATGCAACCATTCTGTGGGACAGACTCAAAAATAAACTTTTATCCTTGAATCAGGAATACTGCAGCTCTAGAAGACTCCGATTAGGATCAGAGTACATTGGTTCAGTGTAGAGCAATTTCTTATCTCATTTGCTGTGTCTAACAAGAGTGGGTTTTTTTTCATAACTGCGTGCCTGATGGTATATTATGAGCAAATTCATTTATTTAAAAAATGCAATGTTATTAGAAATAACATAATAATAAGAGGTGACACAGCAGACTAAGTAATTATCATCATTTTACATTTTGTGCTGAACTACAAATGTTTTGCTAGCTGTGGAGCTTTTCTACAAAGGACTTTGAAAACTTCAGACTTCTAGTGTTAACGTCATTGTCTTGTGATGACAAATGGTACATTGCTGAAAAAGGTTTTCTTGCTGGATTATGGTCTTTGTTGACACAAGTGCACTGAAGGCCACTGCTGGGACTATTTTTAAAATAGCATAATATTGTTAAGAAATGAAGAATGTTATTCTTCAGTGTTCCTGGTATGGAGTAAAAGTACCCTGTCAGTATTTTTTGTAATGCAAGAAAAAGCATCAGCTTCTCCACATAGCTTTAGCAATGCACCTTCAAATCTGCCTGCAGCTGTGGAGGAGGAGACAAAGTAATGACTCTTCACTCTGCAGACTAATATGCCAAATGATATTGCTGGTCTTATTTATTTATTTATTTGGCTTGGAGACAATTGGGATCAAAACACAGAGATAGGTTTGGGATAGAGGAGAGGACAGGGTGGCAGTAATGATGCAAATATTCTCAGATCCTGGGAAAATATCCTAACCAATCAGTGGTTAGAATCTGACTTTGTGTTCTGTGACTTATGTGATTTATCTGTTGAGCTGCTGGTTTCTGTGTATGAGAGAGAACTAGACAAAACATGTTTGCACAAAGCTCATTTTAAGGTTTTTTTGGTAGTAGGAAAAGGATAATTTAAAAAAAATGCAAATTACAGATACAGAAAACCCAACACATTAACAATTCCTCATGATGTGTGGCTCTATCATTTTGTTTGTAGTTTACGTTTCTGAAGTAAATGCTATGAGCCTCTGCAGACAAGTGAAAGGAAAGGAGGAAGAGGGCAAATGCTGTTCTGTTTTTACTGGACATAAGCAGTAGCATTAGTGGTTTTCATTGGCTATTCCTACATTCACTAAATGTACTCTTGTCATGGGGAGGCTGTGAAAATGAGATGTAATCCTTGGTTAAATTCAAGCACACACTACATAGAGCATTCACTTCTCTGTTTTGTCTCTGCATCTTGCCCAGATTGTGTCCAGAGCTGCCAATGCTGATGCCTTCCACTGCAGTTACTAGCGCTTTATTGCCATCTGCCATCATACTGTTTTCAGCTAAGCTACCATGATCCCCCATTTCCATAAGATAGGGAGCAGCATAGCCAAAGCCTTAAATATATTTCACACAAGCACCAGCAAAAGCAAAATAAAAAAAAAATACTCCTACGCTCTCAATCCCTAACACATCCCTTTCTGCCTGCTTGAACAGCTCATGCTGCCACTGCTATTGGCCTTCTGATTTTGTAGCCAAATACCTTTACTGCTCAACTGCAGCATCTTCTGTTTGGCTATCTGCTGTTGCAAGCCACATTCCATCCCTGGCATAGAGAACAGTGATAGAAGGGGAATGCTACATGACATCTGCACTCTGCTGGGTGCCATTCTTCTCTCGTGCTGAATGATATGACATGCAACTGTGCAAATTAATGTTATTTTGCAAATAATGCAAAGCACCTTGCTTCTACACTCTCCCAGAGTGACATAACTCTCATAATATATATTTAACCCTGTTTCCTAAATACTAGTGGTGTCAGTGGAGCTATGCCAACTCACACCAGCTAAGGGGCTGGCTCAGATCAACACATGCAAATACTGTGATATGAATATCTGAACCTAGTCACACCCTTACTGAAACACCACTATTCTAGTCTTTTATCTCACTTAAGCGTGCACGTACAAGAGAGCGTGAGAGACTTCCATTCATGCCAATCATGTAAAGAACTAGGAAGAGAGCACCCAATTCATTTTTACTGGTGACAAGTAAGGATTTGAACCTAGTTTCCCAAAGGTGCATAGATAGTTCAGTAACTGCCTGAAACATCTAGCTCCCAATTACCACATAGGATCTGGGGGAAAGACACTTCAGTTAGAGAAAATTAATTGCAGTAAATGACATATTATAAGAGATTTCACCTTTGTTTAACCCTCTCCCTCACATAATTTGGTTTTTTCCTTCAAAGATACAGTATTAGCTTTGACTCCAGTCTGCACTGCTGGGAATGTTAAATGTGTTAAAAAATTAAGTATGACTGACTAAATGTACGCAAGATTTACAGTGAGTTAGTTTAGTTGGAGTGTTTGTGGTGAAGCTACTCTAAACCAATGGGAGAGAATTCTCCTGTCAGCTTAATAACTCCTGCCTCCATGAGAAGGGGCAGTTACATCAGCAGAAGCCATATGGGAAAACTGTGAAGGTGAGATGATGTGTGAAATAGTGAGTGCCCAATCCAAAAAATTCTTTGTGGTTTAAAATCAGGACCTTGAATTCAGTTATGTAATGAGTGGGGAGCCAGTGCAGTTTAGGAAGCACAGGTGTGAGATATTCCTGTCAGCTGTTTCTGAGGAGTTGTGCTGCTACATGCTGCTAGATTTGCCAGCCCTCCAGGATTGCCCTGGAGTCTCCAGGGATTAAAGATTAATCTTTAATTAAAGATTATGTCATGTGATGAAATCTCCAGAAATATGTTCAGCCAAAATTGGCACCATTACATACTGCAACAACTTAAGCCTTTTTTGTGGTAGTTCCATTCAGTAGAGTGAGTTGTAGTGTCGAAATTTCATTAAGTCGAAAGTGTGTCTCTTGATAGATCTAAAAAGGAAGAGTGTGGCTTCCTGGTTAGTCTAATATGGAAAAAGGAAATCCTAACCACCTCTGTGTGACTAGGAGCAGTAATGACCAAAGGCTTCACACTGTGCTGACAATCTGTGTGTTAATGCCCTTGTTCACAGTGCATGGTGAGGTTAAATAATTGGCAAATGCTTCAGAGTTTTTTCCCTTGTTTCTACTAATGTCATTTCTCTCTTTCCAAGGTTGAGCCAGAGCCAATATTTCATTTATCTATGCTTTTAATATCTGGTGTGCCACAAAAATGACGTTCTACATTTTACACACCACTAATGGGGAAACAGAGGACATGGAAATAAAATGATTTGTTCAATCATACAGATGGTCAGTGGCAGATCTGTGAATAGAAGCGAGGTTTTCTGGCTCTTAGATAAGGGCTTTACCCTCTAGACCCCTCTACACTGTAGCTTACAATGTCATTATAGTATCAGCTAACTATAGTTCCACAGTGAAAGCGCTATGTAATATATGCAGTATTGTACATGCTTGAGACAGAGTGACTATAGAATAAGGTTACAAGTATTATTGCAATGGGATGGTGGGAAAGACTGAAACAGCCTTTCAGCTGCTGCTGAGGTTGGGAGAGGTAGAAGGAGATTCCTCTCAAGGGGGTCCAATTAGAAAACTGAGACAGATTAACTGTGTATAGCCACCCTGGGTGTATTATGTGTGTGTGTGTACACATACAGTCTTGTAAAGCCACTAGAAAAGAAAGAAAAGACTCAGCTTCTATTTAAAAATTAGCCTAATATCTAGACCTTATGGATGCAGACAAAAGTTTGAAGAGATGAACTGAGTGCCCCCTGTAAGATCAGAAACCAGGTGACAAGTAAGATGAACCCCAACGTTCTTATTTAAAAACAATCATGATTCGGGGGGGAACTGAGTCACAATATTCAAATCTTCATCTTCACAATGCTGGAATAAGCTATTGAACGCAAATTATTTGTTCAGTTTGACCACCAGTTATGGTGAGGAAATATTAGCTGTTTTATATTTATAAAAAACCTTTTGGGTGTCCAGCTAATGCTCTGAGCAGTCTATAAATGAAAAAGAATGAAAAGAGATAACAGGATAACACAAACGACTTCTCATTTGATCTTGACAGCTAAAAATGTAAAGTATAAGAAATGTAAAACAGTGGCTTAAAAGAGCAGAATGTGTTAGTCAGCATTAGCATAAAATAGGAGTATTGGTGGTATCTGAATGAATGAATGAAGCAAAACCACATTGTTTTAAATTAAAAGTTAAACATACAAGTTCCTTTCTCCCTTGGCCATGGCTACTGGCAGCACTACACCCACTATCCACTTTCTCTCTCTAAACCTAGCCTGCAACCCAACTAAGTGCTGCCCATAGTTATGATTTTATCATGACTTTCAGAATGTTGGATGATTTCTCCAATTTTTGGATGTATATGACTGAGAGAATCTTAGCTTTCCTTTCTTTTCTTAAGGGAATTTTCTAGTCTTCATTGTTGAGATCATAGCTTTTCTCTACATCAGAAATAAAAAAGAACTTCAAATTTAGTACTTCAGGAAGGAAGCTTTAGATTGGCAATACTGGCATT